TTCCATGTGAACACTGTGAGAAAGCGGTCACCGCCTTCATTTCTAAGGTCCACTCACACACGCGACGCACGCACGGCACATTTCAGACCCCCCCCCCTCACACACACACATACACACACACACACAACATTACACACACACACCGCACGCACCACCACACACACACACACACACACACCACACACCAACCAACAAATGCAAAGGCATAAAGGCGAACAAAACTTAAAATTATAAGAAACTGGACCGTTTTGGCAACTTCGTGACTTAAGCGTGAGCCAGCGACCCGCTTGCGGGGATATTTTCATTAACGCTACAAAGTCAATAAAGTTTCTCACGGGACTGTGTTCAACAATCAGTTACATTCACTGACGCTTGCACTACATTTTCCGTGTACCATAAACGTGCGCACAGCCTTACACCCACAACACACACCAACACACAACACCACACACACACACAACACCACACACACACCACAACACCACACACACCACACACACACACAACAACACACACACACACACACACACCACACACACACATATATATATAACACACACCACAACCACACGCACGCACACATGTAGTATATATTATTATATATATATATATATATATATATATTATTGTGTGTGTGTGTGTGGTTGTGTGTGTTGGTGTGTGTGATGTGTTTGTGTGTGGTGTGTTGTGTATGGTGTGTGTGTGTGGTTTATTGTGTGTGGGGTGTGTGTGTGGTTGTGTTGTGTGGCGTGGTGCGTGTGTGTGCGTGTGCGTGCGCGTTGCGGTTGTGCGTGTGGAGTGTGTGTGTGTGTTGCGTCCGTGGCGTGTGCAGGGCAGGTGTGTGTGCGTCTGCGTGTGTGTGTGTGTGTGTTGTGTGTGTGTTGCGTTGAGCGTGTGTCGTGTGTGTGTGTGTGTGTGTGTGTGTGTGTGTGTGTGTGTGTGTGTGTGTGTGTGTGTGTGTCTGTGTGTGTTTGTATTCATATGTATAAGGCCATCATGTAATAAGCAATACATTACGCGTGCAAGCTAAATAATTACACGTAACGTATATTAAAAGGGCGTTTGATTATACACGTAACACAATAATATTTAAGCACGCCATTAATCAACCTGTAGACTATCTATATAGATTGTAATATTTATGTGTATTACTCTGTATTATTCTGCTTGTATAATAGCTATCGCATTTTTAATGTTGCATCTGAAACCGATTATAAATAAAGCGCGACGTTTCGAACCAAAGAACTCCGCAACTCCATAACTCCGTAACTCCATAACTCCGTAACTCCATAACTCCATAACTCCGACCGACGAAAATCGAATACCATTCCCGATTTATTTGATGATGTCATCACGAAGAGCTGAATTTAAACGGCTGGGATTGGTTGGAAAATGGCTGCGCCAATGTTGCAGACTCCCTTCTTCACTAAAATGTATCCTCCCTGCCCCCACGACGTTCCCCAACTGTAAAACACAAGCACAACAAAACAATCAGTAAGTAGACTGTGTGTGTGTGTGTGTGTGTGTGTGTGTGTGTGTGTGTGTGTGTGTGTGTGTGTGTGTGTGTGTGTGTGTGTGTGTGTGTGGGCGGTTATTGATGTCAATATTCACTGCAATAGATGCATGGTCGTAGATTAGTGAGGATTAACAAGTCAGGTTAAACAACAATGAGATTCACAAACTGTGAATATAAACGAAATATAACGAGACAACTGAATCAAGTTTATAACTAACTGAAACTAAAGATATCCTATAATGTAACATTATTTATACATGTATATATTATACATTGTTATATATATAGCTGCGTTCACACGAGGAGAAAGTTGCGTTCACACGCTAAAATATACGCGGCTTGCTTAGCCACAGCTTGCTTAGCCGCGAATGCTCCGGCTTGCTAAGCGCGGAATCATATTCCGCGCCAACTAAGCCGCGCATATTCGGCACCACGCTGGCCGCGTATTGATTGTCGTGTGAACCTAGACTGCTACCCGTTCGCTGCACGACGTTAGGGTAGCGTGTGGAACTGTCGACCGGGTACCAGTCTATATTATACCGCGCTAGCTAAGCCTCGAATCTCGTGTATCTCGTGTGAACGCATTTTAACCGGACTTAGCACCAACTAAGTACGGTACCAGCTAAGCCGTGTATACGTGTGAACGCAGCTATATCTGACGCTCTATCTGAACGCAGCAGTTATCTGACGCTCATACATATGTTACACATTGTTATAAATATTATACGTTGTTATGTATATATTATACGTTTTTATATAATATTATCTGACGTTGTTATATATATATATTATCATTATACAGTGTTATATAATATGCGTTATTATATATATTATACATTGCTGTATAATATAATCTGACGTCATTACCTGTTGAGGATTACCCAGAACTCGGTGCCGTCGGCCGTCATGCCGTCACCGACGATGACGACAGCGTGGTTCATCTTCACGCTCAGCGTCGACCCGGACAGACCCGTACCTCCCGCATCTGTCGTGCTAGACGGAGCCTGCGTCGTTGTCGTCGGGGCTTCTGTCGCTGCTGTTGTTGTTGTTGTTGTTGTTGTTGTTGGCGCTGCTGTTGTTGAAGATGGCGCTGCTGTTGTTGAAGATGGCGCTGCTGTTGTTGAAGATGGCGCTGCTGTTGTTGAGGATGGCGCTGCTGTTGATGTAGAGGGCGCTGCTGTTGTTGTAGATGGCGCTGTCGTCGTTGAGGAGGATGCTTCTGTGTTTGCTGCTGCTGCAGCTGTTGCAGTTGTTTCATCTACGTTAGATGGCGCCACCGTAGTTGTAGATGGCGCCTCGGGGACGCTGAAGTTATCCGAAGCTGCTGCCGTGCTGTTCTCATTTGCAGTGTTGTTACTAGATGGCGCCAGTGTCGTTACAGATGCAGCATCGGCGTCGGCAGCGGTGGCAGCACCGTCGGTCGTCGATGATGGCTGGGTTGCATTGACGTCCTGCTGCGCAGAAACACTCTCAGCCGTCGACGACGCCGTCGACGACGCCGTCGACGTCGTGGATGGCGCTGTCGTCGTTGTAGAGGGAGCTGCCGTCGTTGGCGTCGTCGGTGGCGGCGTCGTTGGTGTTGTCGTCGTCGGCGTCGTCGTCGGTGGCGGCGTCGTTGTTGATGTCGTCGTCGGCGTCGTCGTCGGTGGCGGCATCGTTGTCGGTGGCGGCGTCGTTGTTGATGTTGTCGGCGCCGTCGTTGTCGTCGGCGGTGGTATCGTTGTCGCTGGCTCAGTCCCGCACGTTGTTACGATGCCTAAACAACATGAACGACGAACAACGGGGATAAATACACCGCGTACTAATGTCACATGAATTATAACAACACGTAATAAATATAATGTATTATAGTAAAATAGACGAATAACACTAATTTAATTTACAATGTGCAGATGAGAAAGGTAATGTTATGTAATATAATAATATAAATGTAATTTACGGTAATAAGTTTTTAATGAAGCTACATAACTAATTGTGTGTCTTACTGTCAGCGCCTCTGCCACACCACAACATATCCATCTATCCAGTTACCTATCTATTTATTCCTGATACCGGAATGCTTCTACATTTATACTTCAATTATACTACCATGTGCATTTATATAGACCTACATACCCCGTATTTATATTACTCCACGCATTTCGGTAATATAAATTATATATATATATACATCTATATATATATATATATATATATATATATATATGTGTGTGAATATAGTTGAGTTTTTGATGACATCGTGCGCCAGAAGGAATGTTTAAATGTGTTGAGTGCTTAACTGAATGCATTAACGTCTGCCGTGACTAGTTTCAAACAGCTAATAACGTAATAGTCGCACGGCGCTCACAACATAATCAACTTAGTGCGATAATTCAACGTTTCACGCAGAGTGACGTGAAATACAGACGCATAAAACCGATGACGACGAGGCGAATGTAACACCTTTACAACTGCTATCATTCTCTCGGCGACGTAAGTGCGAACTCCGAGTTAAAATGAACAGAAAACGAAGGTATAGAGTCTATCCCGCGATAACAACAACGTAGTGAGCGAGCAAATACTCGTTTCCTATATATCTAATGACTTATTTAATTAGCTGGGTAAAATTATGTAGTTTATATCAACGTCCTCTCGTAAGTTTTATAGAGTGACTAAGACGAATCACGTGACTGATCACGTCACATCTTTGATTACTGTGATTACTTAGATGTGTGTGAAGAAGATATCTGGACCCTGTCTCTACGAGACACGGCCCCACTCTACTAGCTAACAAGGGTTCGATGAACTCATGACTTGATGCAATACAGTTGAAAGAGCTAGCGATGAACTTCATTGTCTAATGTTTTAGAAGGTTATTCAGGATGCATGCGTTGTAGAGGTATCGTGTCAAAACCAGTCTCAGCCTCGAGTAATACTTGATAAATTGTAACAGGATGCATGCGTTGTAGGGGTATCGTGTCAAAACCTGCCTTAGCCTCGCGTAATACGTGATAAATTGCAACAAGAGCCTTGCTTGCCTCTCATTCCGAAGGTCACGTGCATCAGTCACGTGATTCTACTGCTCATTTATCAATTAAGATGTCATCCGCTAATATATTAATATTGATGATCATCACAGGATAGATAGTCACTGACGGCTCTGTATCCTGTATTCGTTCTACACGTGTTATTATTCATTACATGTACAGCTACAGCCACTTAGCTGCTGCGCTGACGTTTGTAAACAAATTATGTTTTATAATAACAATGACGATTAGTATTCAAAATAGTTATACGACTTTCGAAATTTTTAGACTTTTTACTAATTATTTTCTCTGGAGAGAGAGAAAATTGTTCCACCCCGCCTCCTGCCTCTAGCTACGCGTTGTAGTTTGAAAAGAGTCGTTTGTGCGCATATTGTTACGGTCATAATCAGCGCTAGAGTGGATTTTACTCGTGGGAATATTGTTCTATAGACACATAAAAAACATAAATAACCTCCTTTCCTTGGATACGTATTGATTTCTGCTACTATACAGCCATCGTGCGGTGCCCAGGGAATTGTGTTGTGGATTAAAATCCGGCTCTCTTGTGTGCAGGACACAGGCATTTGTTTGGCGCACCTGAATTCACGTGTGGTAATTTATCAGGAACAAAAGCGCCTAATATGGCGTGATAACAGCAGCTACGTATCTGTTATTAATAGATTTTTGCCCTAACGCTTCTTCATCCCCTGATACCCCCTGGCGCCATCTACCGGTCATTAAACACACTAAACCGCGTTAAGCAGCTGAGCTTGGCGCATCATCACCGATACCCCAAACAGACTGAAAATATTTATCCTACATTAAACTGGTACGAGCCTGTCGCGCGCCAAGCGCGCATCAAATCGTAGGATACAGACACAACATTTGATCCCACATCAAATTAGTCACGGGTTGACTGCGCAGGCTCTGTTCAGCTCGCTACGTCACCCCGCAGACAGCTACTGTACTTTTATGTGACCTACATAAGGCTATGCGCATGCGCATTGCGAAACAGCACGGGATTTGGCCCGCCTGTTGGGTACAGACACGCTTAGAGATGGATAACTTGGTCCAGGCCAAGTTATCCTAGGATTGGCCCTCATTCATTTGCGGGGTCAAACTGGTGGGGGTCAGCGCGTATTTGGCGCGGGATAGCGTGTACACACTGCAAAAATTTGCGCGCGCTTGGCCCGGACTACTTTAATCTGGGATCAAATTTGCAGTCTGTACGGGGTACTATAGATGGTCCCCGTCCCTTACCTCCTCCATAGAAGTTCCATACGTCTCGCGGGGCGTAGACGCCGACTACGACAGATCCGAAATTGAGTAGCACCTCTATCAGGCGGCTTCCTTCGTCGCTGGAGAAGACAACGAAGGAATAGTGAGAGTGAGATACAAACCTCCATATCGTCGGTACTAGTACACAGAATCAGCTCAGCATCAATTTACTGCTTTATATAGTAATGAATTTACAGGACATTCAGTAATCGGGATTCAGGTATTTTGGCATCTATTTTTGTCCACGCAAAAAATAACTGGTGAACCAACTGGTATAACTGGGGAAATAACGGGTGAACCAACTGCGTGGGGTAACTGGGGAAATAACGGGTGAACCAACTGCGTGGGGTAACTGGTGAAATAACGGGTGAATCGTGAACGGTTTGCTCAAACGCGTGTGGTTGACAGTTGCTATGGCAACGTCGAGACAAGCTCACATGTCGGTTCCCTCGTAGTAGAAGGAGTAGGGCGTGGAGAGTTTCACGGGCGTGTGTGTACTGTTCGCATGTGGGACGCACTCAGTCTGATATCCCTGCAGAGAAGCAACCACATGCTACAACAAGCTGTAATTGTTTAGCACACGTAACGCCATCTATTGGCTCATTTAAATGTTATTGCTGTTGCGTCAACCAGAATTTACCAGTGGAAATGTTCTCTCCAAATTAAAAGCATATTTCATCAAATGCTGCTTTATAAATTTAATAGAGATTCAACATACACCTGCATATTTCTTGCTGGACACGTATCGCCATCTATTGGCTGAATTAAATGCTGTTAGTATTAGTGTTACGTCAGCTAGAGCATGCGTGTATGTGTGTGCGTGCGCGCGTGCGTGTATGCGTGCGTGTACCTGGTAGCCATAGTCAGCTTCGTTGATGGTCGTGTTGGTGTAGTATAGCCACCAGTAGACATTGTAAGGCCATCCTCCGTCACAGCCGTACGTGAGGTGGTTGCAGTCTATCGCATGCTGGAAGCTGAGCGGTGTGAACTGACCGTCACTAAGACACCACGACGTCTCCAGTGCCGCCATCTGTGGGAAGATTGTGATAGTGTTATGCGAGTTATCTCTCTCTATCTCTCTCTCTATCTCTCTCTCTCTCTCTCTCTCTCTCTCTCTCTCTCTCTCTCTCTCTCTCTCTCTCTCTCTCTC